TTTTTTTTTAAAAAAAAAATTGTTTTTTTTTAACCACAAAATTTTTTTATTTAACAAAAACAACAAAATTTTTTTTTTTTATATTTGTCATTATAAATAATCCATAAGGTGATTGTTGATTGGTTATTGAAAATATAATAATATTTATTTTTTAAAAAAAATATATGGTGTGTGTGCATTAAATATAAAATTTTTGAAAATTCATTGCAAATATTATGTTTTTTTTTTTTAAAAATTTTTTTTTTTAAATATACCAAAACTATCCATAATAAAAAAAACACTCGTAATTTTTGATTTAAAATACATTGATATTTATCATATTTAATACCCAATCAAATATTAGTTTGGAAAATTTTATTATAATTTTATATTTGCAGCTTATAAGTAGAGATTGATAGTGATATAATATTTTTATTATTTTTTATTATTTTTTATTTTTTTATAAAACTATAAATTCTTTTATAATTTTTAGTTTTTTTATTATTAGTTGTAATCAAAATATAATCATAACACAATGTTAATTGGTAAATAAAAAATACATATTAATATATTTCAAAGTAATTAAATATTAATTTATTTTTATTTTATTTAAAAAAAAGACGCTTTAACTAACTTAGCTGGTACCAAATCATCAAACAAAGGTTCATCAAACACTACCACTCGTAAAGCTGATACCTTATACCTTGCTACTTCATCAACTAACAAAATGGCTGAAGATGATATCAATCCACCACCACCAAGATTCCCATTATAAAATCATGATCCAACACAAATTTTTTTTTTTCTAATAATTTGATAAATGTAATAAACATTTTTTATTTTTTCATTTAAAATTCTAAATCTTTTCCATTTCAAAATTTTTTTTTATCTTATGATTAAGTTTTTGAAACACCAAAAGATTTTTTTTTTTAAAATTTTTTTAATTTTTTCTTTTTATTTTTCTTTTTTTATTTATTTTAATTTTTTATTTTTTATACATATTTTTAATAAATTCAAAATATGAAATATGAAATTTAGTAAATTCATTATAACAATATTAGTTTTTGTAATAAATCTCCAATTTAATTCTACTTGTCCCACATATCCACAACCCGTCAAAATCAATCAAAATGACACAAGATTGATTAGTGCATATGAAAAAATCGATTCATTTTTACAAAACGAAATGAAAGCAAATAATATAGAAAGTTTTGTGGCATCTATAGTGTATATGGATGAAGTCGTATGGAGCAAGGCATATGGTAATGTTAATCCATTGGATATTTCATCAGATTTGCTTACAATAGATAATAAGTAAGTTGAAAAAATTGCAAAACAAAACCAATATACATACTAACAATAACTATTTTTTATACACATAGTGTACAAATTGCAAGCTTAACTAAATTATTTACAGATTTGATGATGTATCAACTAAGAGATAAAGGAATTATAAACTCGATAGATGACCAAGTCGAAATTTATTACCCAGAGTTTTCAATCACTAGTATTTATGATCAAGAAAATAGCATCACATTAAGAGAGCTATCTGGACATCTATCAGGTCTACCAAGAGAATTACCATGCGATACACAATATGTCGGAACTGATAATTGCACTGAAGAGATAATATTAAAAAAAGTATCACAAATGTTTACAATTTTACCGCAAAATCAAATGGTTCATTATTCAAATTTAGGAGTATCGCTACTGGGTAATGCATTGTCGAAAGCAATTCAAATGCCTTATGAACAGTATATTGAAAACTATATACTAAAGCCATTGGAGATGACAGGATCAACATTTAACTACAGCTCAATACAGGATAATCTAGCACTAGGGGTACAACGAACAAGTAATGGGTCGTGGGAGATAGTAGAGAATAGACAAACACTTGGATGGAGTAACCCTTCAGGAGGTTTATTTTCAACAACAAGTGATATATCGAAATTTATTATATTTTTATTAAATGGAAACGAAGAGATATTGAAATCATCGACACTCAACGAAATGCTTTTGCCAATGTATCTAGACAACGATGGCTCGAGTGCTTATGGCACACCCTTCGAATTCTATTACGACAGTGGCAATGAAATTTGGTACCAATCAAAAGCAGGTATAGCAACAGGCTACAGATCCCAAGTTGCATTATCAAAAGATTTAAAATTGGGTCTATTTTATTCATCGCAGTATTCAATATATACTGAAGATTTATTCACTAGAGACAGCTTACAATTTCTAATTCCAATTTACACTGAAATACTATTAGAGCAACAACAACAGCAACAACTCCAACAACAAAAAGAAAAAGAAAAAATTCAACAACAAATAAATGATCAATTTATCGGATATTATTCAAACGATTTTAATTACAACTTTAACATATATTTAGGTTCAAACCAAGAACTCATTGGTAATGTTAACGGAAATAAAAACATTAATTTCACAATAACCGATTTCGATGAAGATTACCCACTAGTAAAAAGAGTCACCATTGAAAAACCACAAAAAAACATTTGTTGGATGTATTATGATGGTTTAAATGAAGAGCTAATTTATTTTTATACAGATATTAACGACAATATCAACAGTTTATTAATATTAGGTCAAACGTTATATAAACAATAATCAAAAAATCAAATATAAAAAAAAAAAAAAAAAAAAAAAAAAAAAAAAAGAATTTGTAAATAAACTAAAATAACTAATTAATCGATCAATAAATAAAGTTATATATTCCTTTTTTATATTTATTTTTTATTTGGTTTTTTTCAATTAAAATTATCAAATTTAAATAAAAAAAAAAAAAAATTTTAAAAAATTTTTTTTTCTTTTCATTTTTTTTTTAAAACTAAATTCATTTTTTTCAATTTTATATTATATTACATATTTCATAAATTTTCTTAAAAAATGACAGAAGAATTAAAAGATATAGATTCATTTTTGAATGAATTAAATATTTTAGAAACAAATAATAGTAATGAAAAACCAAATAAAAATTTAAATAAACAACAAAATACAAACGAATCAGTCGATTTACCAAATTGGTGGGTAAATCCAATAACATTAACATCACAACCCGAAATCACACCCATACAACCAAGTAATAAAGAATTACCACCATCAAAACCAAATAACAATGTAATATTATAATATAAATGTTTATTAATAAAAAAAACAATACTAATTTTACTCTTTTACCATTAGTTTTTAAATTTATTTAAAGAAAATAATTTCAATGTTGATAAAATTTTAGAAAATTTAAATTTAAAATACTTAAATTTTGATAATAATGATCAATATAATAATAATAATAATAATAATGGTAATAGTATTGATAGTAATAATAATGATTATTTAGTTTGGCCAAGACAAATTAATACAGATAATTGGAATTATAAATTATTAATTGAAAGAGAATTATCAATACCATGTTCAACTGTAGAGTTAGTTATTGATAAAATTCATTATCAAATTTCAATTACAAATTACAGAGAGGTATTCATAAATACAGATATTAATTCAAGTAACTCAACATCATTAGACAGACCATGGAGTCAAAGTCCAGCCGGTACATCAAAAGATTATTTTCATCGTGGTAACACATCAAATTTACCATTTCTTCCAGGTGGTGTTAAACCTTCAATGCAATCAAATTTAACAACAATTGGTGAATTACGTGATAAATTTGATTGGGTACAATTTTGGCACTCGAAATCACTCTTGACAACTCCTCCAGGTTTAGACAATGGTATTTTAGACTTTACAAAATCTTTACAAGAGCAACAAGAAGAAGCAGGTAATGAAGATGACGACACTGTAAGCTTTAATTATACATTAAAAGATTTGGAAAAAGAAATTGAACAACAATTAAAATTAGAAGAAAATGAAGAAAACCAATCAATTGAAAGTCAAGATAGTGATCTAAATGAAGAGGATGAGGTTGATGAGTCTATTGCCAATCAAGACCAAGTCGGTGAAATCAATGAAAAACAAGATATTGATAATTTAATCGATGTAGAAAAAGATAATACCAAGCAACAACCAGAAGAAGAAGAAAAAGAAGATTCTAAAGGGTCTGCCGAAAGACAATGGGGTTTCGAGGACAAGAAAGAAATTTTATCACCATTATCAGATTTAATTGCAAACCCAGCTATTGAATACCCATTCGAATTAGACTCTTTCCAAAAGCAAGCTATTTTACATATGGAGCAAGGCGACTCTGTATTTATTACTGCACATACCTCTGCTGGTAAAACCGTTATCGCTGAATATGCTATTGCCATGGCCGCTAAAAATATGACAAGAGCAATCTATACCTCACCCATCAAAGCATTATCGAATCAAAAGTTTAGAGATTTCAAAAATACATTTAATGATGTTGGTTTAATTACTGGTGATGTTTCAATTAGTCCTGCTAGTAGCTGTTTGGTATTAACTACAGAAATTCTTAGATCTATGCTCTATAAAGGTGCCGATTTAATCCGTGATATAGAGTGGGTAATCTTTGATGAAGTCCATTATCTTAATGATTTAGAAAGAGGTGTAGTTTGGGAAGAAGTCATTATTATGTTGCCACCTTATGTCAAAATGGTATTCCTTTCTGCCACAGTTTCAAATCCATTAGAGTTTGCAAATTGGATTGGTAGAACCAAACAAATCCCAATCTATGTCATTGGTACCACCAAACGTCCAATTCCATTAGAGCACTACATCCACACACCCTCCAATGAAATGTTCAAAATTGTTGATAGCACTAGAAAATTCCTCCCAGGTGGTTATAATGATGCTTTTAATTCACTATACAAAAACAATTCAAATAAACCAAATCAACGTGGAGGCGGTGGTGGTGCAAGACAAGGTGGTTCAAATAACAATAGTTCCGGTTGGTCAAAATTAATTACAACTCTAAAAGATAAACAGCAATTACCAGTTATTATTTTCTCATTCAGTAAAAACAAATGTCAAGAATATGCAAGCTCTTTAGGTAGTACCATTAATTTGACACAAAGTAATGAAAAAAGTCAAATTCGTCAATTTATAGAACAATCTTTAGGTAGACTTTGCGAAGATGATAAAACTTTACCACAAATTTTACAAATGAGAGAATTATTAGAGCGTGGTATTGGTGTCCATCATGGTGGCTTATTACCAATCGTTAAGGAATTGGTCGAAATTTTATTCTCAAAAAGTTTAGTTAAAGTACTCTTTGCTACTGAAACCTTTGCCATGGGTGTAAACATGCCTGCCAAAACCGTAGTTTATAGTAATACTAGAAAACATGATGGAATTACATTTAGAGATCTTTTACCTGGTGAATATACTCAAATGTCTGGTAGAGCTGGTATGTATTACTAAAGATATATTATTACAATAATAATAATAATAAATACTAATTTATTTATATTATTTTTTAGGTCGTAGAGGTTTAGATAAAGTTGGTACAGTTATTATAACTTATTGGAAAGATATTCCAGAACAAGCAACCATTGAATCAATGTTACTTGGTACACCATCAAGATTAAACAGTCAATTTAGATTAACCTATAATATGATTTTAAATTTATTACGTGTACCAGATTTTAAAGTTGAAGATATGATTAAACGTTCATTTTCAGAATTTAGCAGTCAACAAGAAATTCCAGATATTGAAAAACAAATTTCAAAACTTACAGAACAATATAAATCATTAGGCGAAATTGAATGTATTTTAGGCGAGCCAGATATTGAAAATTACTATTCACTCTTTTCACAATCTAAAAATATTAATGAAAGAATTCAAAAGACAATCTTAAATTTACCAAACTCAAATCATTTCTCACCTGGTAGAGTGTTAGTATTATCAAATGATGACGAAATGAAATACAACAGTTATACCATCGGTGTCATCATTCAATGTAACACAGAAATTATTAAGCAATATACCAACAACCAAGTCAACAGAACATTTAAAATCTTTTCATTAAAATCATCCTCAAACAATGCATTTGAAGGTCATCAAATCACAATTTCAAATGGTTCAGATATTAAAAAAGTTTGTGATGAAAAGATTAAGGTTGATATAAAGCTAATCGAATCTGCCGACCCAATCGCAACCAACTCATTAGAACAACAATTGCAACGTATTATCGAAGAGTATCCATTACCATTAGGTCCAAAAGCCATTGATCCAATTCACCAATTAAAGCTTAAAGATGTAAATTTCGTCACCACCTATGAACATTTAGAAAAAATTGAAAAACTTATACCACAATCAAAATGCCATAAATGTCCTAGATTAGCAGAACACTACGAACTTACTGAAAAGAAACATCAATTACAAGAAGCCATCAGAGATTACAAGTATACTGCTAGTGATGAAAATTTAAAACTTATGCCACAATTCAACATTAGATTAGATATCCTCAAAGAGTTGGGTTATATCGATCAAGATAATTCAGTTACACTTAAGGGTAGAGTTAGTCGTGAAATTAATACTTGCGAAGAGTTGGTTCCAACAGAATTAATCTTTGAAAATGCTTTTATCTCTTTAGAACCAAGTGAAGTAGTATCCGTACTCTCATGTTTAATCTTCCAAGAAAAGGACGCCCTTGAACCAATTCTTACACCACGTTTAGATGAAGCTAGAAAAAAACTCATTGAAATTGCCACCAAAACCTATCAAGTCGAATCAAAGAATGGTCTAGATGTATCTCCAGAAGAAAAATTAGAAACCACACTTAAATTTGGTTTAATGCAAGTAGTTTATGAATGGGCTAGAGGCACTCCATTCAATGATATTTGTAAATTAACCAATGTTTTAGAAGGTTCAATCGTCAGAGCCATAACAAGAATTGGGGAAACCTGTCAAGAAGTAAGAAATGCCGCTCGTGTTATTGGTGATACAAAACTATTACAAAAAATGGAAGAAGCCATTAAATTAATTAAAAGAGATATTGTATACACATCATCATTATATGTTAATTAAATTAAATTTAAAAAATAAAAAATAAATAAATAAAATACATAAATAAACAAATAAATAAATAATTTTTTTATTTTATTTATAATTATTTGAAATTATTTCATCTTTATTGTTTTTAAAATAATATTTTAATATTAATTGGAATTTTTCTTCTGCATCGTTGATACTTGTGTTGATGGCATCGTAAATTGATATAAAGCATTTATTGTTATTTGTTCTTTCTATAATTATATTTTCTGTAATACCGGAGCATCCTGAACCTCTAATTGTATAATCATCTGAGAGCTTTAAAAAATACCTTTGTCCACCTATAAAAAATCCTAAAGGATTGCTTCCATTAAAAATGTTCTTTATTTCTACAATTTCGTTGAATTTAATCATTTCACAATCATCGGAACCACAATAAACAACTTCATCATCTAAATTGCATATCATTGATTTAAATCCACTTTTTTGTAATTCTTTTAATATTTCATTAAATGTTTCAATATTATCTTTTGAAACACTTAAATCATTTTTATTTTTATTATTTATTATTGACATTTTAATTAAAAAACTGAATGAATTATTAAATTAATCTATATAATTATTTTAATAATGGAATAAATATAAATATAAATATAAAAATTAAAAAATAAAAATAAAAATAAATAAAAAATATTAAAAAAATATTTATTTTTTATACCACACCACTCTTCTGTGTTTTTATCTTTTTTTATATTCAAAAAGAAAAAATGAATTTGGTATGAACAAATATTTCATTTATTATTCTAACTTCATAATCATTTTTCATATAAATTTATCTATTTTTATTTTATTTTTTTTTTTATCTTTTTTTTTTTATCTTTTTTTATTCATTCTTTTGCCAAAATAATCCTTTTTATTATTTTTTTTTTTACTATTTCTTTTACTATTTTTTTTACCAAAATAATCAGTTATTATAATATTTCAGTTATATTTATTTTTTATATTATTTTTAAATTATTATTATCAAATCGTAATCTTTGAAAAAAAAATATCTCATACAGTAATTATTTGAATGTGTTAATTCGTGCATTATGTCTGGTGTGTGTTTTTGTAAAAGTTGTTAGGTGTGCTCTGTTGGTTTGAATCTCAAAAAATAATGTTCTTTGAATTATGCAAAAAAATAACTTTTTTTAAAAAAAACAACAAAAATATTTATATAAAAAAAAAAAAAATAATTTTATTTTTTTTTATTTTTTTTTTTTTAATTATTTTTTAGCTCAAATGATATTTATTATTTTTAGGTTTTTTGCAATAAAATAAATAGTATTTTTGAAATATAAAAAACTATCACACAAAAAATATATTTATATTTTATCCACATAAATACAATTGTTTTATTTTTTTATTTTATTTTTTATTTTTTTTAATAATATAAAATAATTTTTTCCCACACATTTTAATTTTATTTTTATAAATTTATAATATAATACAATAATAATAATAATATAATAATATATAAGTTTTAAAATGAATTTTGGTAAATTAGTCGATTTAAGCGATGAAGACGAGTTTGTAGAGGAGCCACTTCACAAAAATAAAAGCAAAACAAACAAGAATAGATTTTCTGATGATAGCGACAACGAGAGAGTTGGTACAGTAAACAATAAATCATCATCGTCATCAATTAAACCAGTTTCAAGTAACCCACTTTACGAAGAAGATGAGTTTGATAGAATTCATAGATCCAATCAAGATGTTTTCACCAAGGGCAGCAGCGCAAGTGGCAGTGGTAGAAGATCAACATTTATTACAGAAGAAGAGTTTAATACAAGATTAAATAATAATTATTACAGCTACAATGCATATTCATCATCCGAAGATGAAGATGACGATGATAAACATTTAACAACAGCAGCATCAAAAAATAAAAAAGATTCAAAGAGTAAAGGTGCTAGTAGCAGTTCATCACCATCAAAGTCAAGTAAATCTACAAAGTCAAAAGTAGCCCAAACCCCTGCCTATGATTCATCTGATGAAGAGTTGGACGATGCCAGAACACATCATGCTAAATCAAAAAAAGATAAGACTGATATTAGAGTTTTAACAGAACAACAAAGTGCATTAGATAAAAAGATCTCATCATACCTCTCGATTATCGACCGTAGTTGGACATTAGACTGCGACGAAAACCAAACACTCATCCAAGGTGAACTATTAAAGAAGAGCAGATTCACATCGGGTTGGAAGAAATATTATTTTGTTCTCACTGGTAATCAATTGCATTATTATAAAAATAAGGGATCGAAAAAACCAAAAGGTGTTATTACAATTTCATTTGTTACTCCACCAATTAGCCTTTTAGAAAAGAATATTATCGATATGAAAACTTCACAAGTTTCAAATTATCAATTACAAATCTTTTCAAATAAACGTATCGACTCTGTTTGCGCTGTATCAAATGAAGAGTTTGAAAGATGGAACAACGTTCTCCAAAATCTTATTAAAACAAATTTAGAACCAAACGACTATGATGAACGTCTCGAGAATTACAAGATCGTATCACCATTATTCGAACAAAAAACTCAAGTAGAACTCGATCGTCTTTTAGTTCTCTTACAAGAAATTGATACCTATTCAAAACATGTACTCAACAAATCAAAAAAAGAAAAATCAGGCAATCTCTTAATGATGGAGGATAATGATGATCAAGTAGTCTGGAAAAGTTATTATTTCGTTTTAATTGACAAATGCTTGTACTATTATAAAAGTTCTAAATTGGTAAGTTAAAATATAAAATATTGTCTATGATTATCATTTTATTAATTTTTTATTTTTATTTATAGCCACCACAAGGTGTTATTACATTAAAATATACTGATATTTCAATTATGGAATTACCAGATAATAAACATTGCTTTAAATTACAAACACCATTAAGTGTTTATATTTTAAAGGCAAAGCACCATGTTGCAATGAAAGATTGGATTTTAGCATTAAATAATTCAAAAGAAGGTAAAAAAGTACTCGATATGCCATCAATGGATAGACTAAAATTAAATCAACAACCAAGAATCTCGGAAGAGGGCGTTCAACAACATCCAATTACAGGTTACGGTAAAAAATTCACAGCTACCATCATTGTAACACCACCCAATATGGCACCAACCGAAAAACCATCAACTTTTAAACTTAATTTGGGCACTACAACTATTGGTCGTTCCGATTCGTGCACAGTCACTCTTGATGATAAACAGGTATCTAGAAGTCATTGTAAAATTGAAGTTTCTGATAACTCGGTTATCATTATAGATTTAGGTTCAGGTCATGGCACAAGAGTAAATCATAAAAGAGTCAGCAAAGCTTATTTATTACCAGGTGATAGACTTAGAATTGGTAAAACTTTAATAAAATTTGAAGCTGTAAAAAAGAAAAAAAATAAATTAATTTCAAAATTAAATAAAGATTAAAATTAAATAAATAATAAATAATAAATAATAAATGAATAAATTAATAAATTAAATAATAAATAAAATAATAATAAATTAATAATATAACTCAAAATCAAATCATAATAAAAATTGTAGTAATTTTAAAATAAAATTTTTTTTTTCTTATAATAAAAATAACAATAACCTTATTGTTGAAATCTTCATATAATAATTCATTTTTTTTAACACAGAAAAAACACATTTTTCTGTAATAATCCAAACAAAAACCTAAAAACATTTATTTTTTCTTTTTTTTTTGTGTCTCTTTGTTTTTAATCCTATCTTAAATCTTACAGATAACCACCCCTCTTACCACTCGTAAAAATTAATTAGAACGGGTATAACACATTGATTAACACACGGGGTTTACCAACAATATTAAAACCCTTTAAAAAACTTTCATACAGTAAAAAAAAAAAATATTTATATATAATATTTGAGCCATGAACTAACTTAAAAAAAAAATTAATAAAAAGAATATTTTTTTTTTTTTAAAAATTTTATTTGTATGGAGTAGGAGTAATACTATTGTTGTTATTTATTAACCTTTAAATAAAAAATTGGTGTATTATTAATAAATATAAAATAAATATTATACTAAAAAATTTTTATATAAATTGTTTCTTTTTTTAAAATGGATGCTTATCAATCAGGACAAGAGAATATTAATTATAAATATAGCTTTTGGTTATGGTATTATAATATTTTTAAACGTAATGAAAAGAAATTGGAAAAATTAAAATTATATTATAATTCAAAAAAATATGCAGAATTGTGTCAATATATGAAAAAATTAAAAAATGGTTTAAATAATATTGGTAATTATAATGATAATAATGGCAGTAATGGTAATGGTAATAATGGTGATGAAGTTGATAGATATATTAAAGAAAATTTTAAAATGGTTTAAAATCTAAGTTTCTAAAAAAAAAAAAAAAAAAAAAAAAAAAAAAAATGGTTTTTTTTTTAAAATATATTATTTACAAATAAATAAACAGATTAATAAAAATTAAATATTTTTATTAAATATTTTATTATACTTTTTTTAATAGGTATTGTAGGATCTTAATGTTCGCTTTTCGTTATTTCCTTTATCGTACAGGTCTTGATTATCGTTTTTTTTATCTCTTCTATCATAGTCTTCTCTTCTATCATTTTCACCCCTTCTATTATCTCTTCTGTCATCTCTTCTGTCGTCTTTTCTATTATTATCTCTTCTATCACTATTTGAATCTCTTCTATCATAGTCTTTTCTGCTATCATATGAGTCTTTTCTATCACGGTCTCTTCTATCATGGTCCCTTCTATCATGGTCCCTTCTATCATGGTCCCTTCTATCATGGTCCCTTCTATCATAGTCTCTTCTATCATAGTCTCTTCTGCTGCTATCGTACGAATCTCTTCTATCACTATCTCTTCTACTATGATCGTCATTTCTTTTTACATCTCTATCTTTATTACTATATTTGTTTTGGTTCCAATAAGGGTCTTTGGATGAGGTATCTTGATCTTTTAAATTCGTGTACTTGGTTCTTCCAGATTTTCCAAAGTTTTTAACTTGCATAATTTCAGGTAATAGTTCTTTATTAAATTTATCCTCACCGGTTGGAGCAGAGAAATCTTTATTTTTAATATATTCATCATCTTGAAAGAAAGCACCACGATGATAATCTCTTTGAAGAAATTTTAATTTCTTTTTATCTTTGGCGAATTTTTGAGGGTTTTCTTGGAGGATCTCTTGATCGGTCATGTTTCTTCTTCTTTCCAATTCTTTCTTTTCAAAATCTATTACCAATCTATTATGAATTTCTTTTCTAACTCTTTCAATTTCTCTTTCAATCCATTGGTCGTATTTTTTATTATCTGGGTCTTCATCGTTGTCATAGTCTTCCTCCTCTTTGGCTTCTCTTTCTTTAATTTCATCTTCAATACGATCTCTTTCCAATGTTTCTTTAAGTTTTCTGTGGGCTTCTTGTTTTCTTTGTTCTTTTTCTCTTTCCAATTGTATTTGAGCTTCTTTTTCTTCTTTTTCCCATTGCTCATCGGTTTTAATGGTCCCTCTATCTTCTTTTTTAACAAATGTAGGTCTAAATATTGGTTGTTGGTTCCAGTAGCCATTGTCGTTTTCATCATCATCATCATCTTCACTGTCAGTTTCATATTCACTAGAGCCTTCATCTTCTTCGCCCTCATCGTCGTCTTCACCACCCTTAAAATGCTGTTTTTCTTCTTGATGCTGTTTTTTCAATTGCTCTTCTTGTTCATCACTTTTATTCTTTAGATATCTTTCTCTAGCCCTCCTTCTTCTATCATTTTCTTCTTCTTCTTCATCTACTATATCAGTGCCTCCACTTTTACTATCTTCTTCTTTAATAATCTCAGTTCTTTGAATTCTTCTTTCGGTAGATGCAGCAGCTACCGGAGATTTGGCACCATTTTCATTTTCATTTTCATCTTCATCGTCGTCATGGTGTCTTCTTCTACTTGCTTTTCTATCTTCAACAGAGCTTGAAGAAACCTCTCTATTTTTAAATCTATTTAATCTAGGGTCGTTTACCTCTGCCTCTTTAATTGACTTTTGATTTTGAATATTTGAAAAGAAATCTTCTTCCTCATCATTATCTGCATAATCAGGTCTTTGACCAGCTCTATATCTTGTTACTTTGGTTCCACTGGTTGAAACTGTATGACCACCACTATTTTCTAATTTAAGTTTATCTCTAATTTTATTTGCTATTGACATTTATTTATTTTATAGAAAAAACAAAACTAAAACCACCAATTATTAAAATAAATAAAATGAAAATATTTTTTTTATTTTTAATTTTTTTTTTTTTATAAATTTTTTCATTTTTTATTTTTTTTTTTTTAAATTTTTAAAATTCAAAAAAAAAAGAAAAAATAAAATATTTTTAAATTAAATTCTAATATTTATAAAAATAAAAAAGAGAATGCATAATTCAAATATGCATTCAAAAAATAATATGAATACGAACAATAATAATGGTACCAATAATAATAATAATAATAACAATAATAACCAAAATGATAATTATAGTGACTATACAGATTATAGATCATATAAAAAGAAAAAAGTTAGTCATGACAATAGCGGAGGAAACTCATCGACAAATAATCCAAATTCATATATGACACAGTCACAGCAGCAGAGATATCAACAAAACTATTATAATAATCAGCAACAACAACCTCAACAACAATATCAACAACAACAACAACACCAATATCATCAACAGCATCATCACCATCACTATCAACAATACCAGCAACAAATTAACTATAGAAATATCAAAAACAATAGTTTATATAATGAAATTTTAGATCAAATACAATTTAGTGATGATGATTTACTTAAAACAGTTAATATTTGGGTAGAGCTATTTAATAACGATATGAAGAAAAGTGAAAATGACTTGATGGCTTTAATCAATCAATCTTACCCATTCGACGCAAAGACTTTAATGGATAGTGTAATTTCAACATTTTGCATGTATAGACCAGAGTATATATCAATGATTATCGAAACATTAGCGAACCGGATCTATAACCACCAATTTAATTATCGATTTAGTCTCCCGCCATTTTATGCTTTTAAAAAATTATTTTTATTTGATGAAGGTAAAGAAGATAAAGAGCAAGATCAATCTAATAATTATAAAAACAACCAAAAATATCAACAACAGCCACAAATGAACTATACATATGGTATTGGTGGTGGTTTAGTAACCCCAATTCAATCATTATACACTATTAATAGAGTAATCCAATTACAAGATACTCATTTCGTTCCACTTCAAATCCTATATGAATTGACTTGTTTTAATTTAGTTTATTTTTTAAAAAATAAAGACAGCATAAATTTAAAAATACCATCACCTTCATCAACAGCAATAGCAACAACAAATAAATCTAATGAAATAACAAATAGAAAGAAAAATCAGGATGAAGCATTTTTAAATATTAGTGTTTGGATATTTGATTGTTTAATTAGATCACCAGTTTCAATAATCGAAAGCTACTTTTATAAATTATTAGATATTCATAATCAAGTTTCGCAAACTCATAGAAAGAAACCATTTATAACTCTTAGCAAATACATTAAAAATTCAAATATCACCGAAAGTGAATTGGAATCAATTCTGCCAACTTCAATTAGAAAACACATTGTATCATTGTTTTTAAGTCCAGACTCCTTATCAGTTGATTCCAAAAAAGCTCAATACATTCTTCATTCACTTGTACCAATATTAGTAAAATATCAAAGTAAATTCATTTCAAAGGATTACCATTTCATTTTAATTCATTATTTTTCAAATACAAATAACTCATTTATTCATAGACTGATACATAATTTAATTTCATTATCTACTATTGTAAGTATTCATTTATAATATAAAATTAATTCATTATTATAAAATTACTAATTTTGTTTTTTTTTTATTTTTTATAGGATAATAATTTAGTTATAAATCTATTAGAATTTTTAATGAATAATAAATTTGACAACTTAACTTTACAAAATCACATATTACCACCCATTTTACAAGGTCTAAATGAAGATTTAATTAAAGAAAAATCAAAAATAATATTAAAATCAATTATAAATTCAAAATTAAATATTATATTGTTTGGCAAAAATTATTCAATTAATAATAACAAAAACAATAACAATAATAAACAGCAACAGGAAGAAAATAATAATTTGATTTACTTTTCAGAAACAAATAGTTTAAAAGGTTCAAAAATTTTAGTAAATTTATTAAGCACCTTAAAAACATGCAGTTCTGAAACACAAAACTTATTTTTTTCATTATGGGAAGAATACTTAAAGCAAACTATTAGAGATAGCTTCAATGCTGTATCACAATTTTGGTATATCAAGCAGTTGGTCCTACATTTCAATTTATTTGAATTCGAATTAAAGGAAATGTCGAAGCGATTATTATTATTATTTTTAAATCATTTAATCTATCAAAATAATCAATTTGATTCAAAAGTAATTTCAATTTTCCAACAATTAACATTTAATATATTTTATGTTTCATCATTATTATTTAATAAAAACCAAGATCAACTACAATCATCAATTCAAAATAATAATGATAGCAACAACAGCAATACCATTAACAATAGTAATAGTGGTGATAATAACTTAATTAAAACTTTGGATTGTGGAATATTAGTCGATCCATCAGTTCCACTGTTCTTAGATTATTTACAATTTATAATTAATAAGTTTTCAAAAAATCATATAATATACAAAACAATATTGAAATCAATTCAACAAATTATAAATAACATAACTTTATTAGATTCAACAATTCTTTTAAAAAATAATCAATTTAAACCAACTATCTCATTATCCACCACAAGCAATAGTAATGATGATAGCCAAATTATAGATACTACAACTTTAGAAGTTTACAATATCCAAATTTCATTAGAGTTTTTATATAGTTTAATAAGCAATAGCGATATCCAATCAATCAATGACAGCACTACAGAAACCAGTGATATAGATACAAACAACAACAACAATAATACTAATCTAATATATAATAATATCAAAGAATTTTTATTAAATATAATGATAAATAATAATATTAGAGATAATATCATGTCACTATTAGTATTGAATGATATTGGGTTTAAAACAATATCACTTAAATTATTATTAGAAATCGAAAAGAATAGTATCTCCCAGAAACAAGATGACAGCAGTTATTGGAGCTCTCAAGAGAAAATTGAATTGTTATTTACAAATTTATTAGAACCAAACCTCTTCGAATCGTGTTTAGAATTTTTACAAATTATAAAATCAAGTAATTATGAATTAATAGTTGCATCTCTATTACAAAAATTAGCAATCCTTTCAGAAAATTCAAACGAAAATTTATCAAACGCAATAATTACTTTACTAGAAGAGTTAATAATCAAAGATAACCAATTAATTTATCAAATTCTAAAATTTGTACAGTCAAATCTATTCAATCACTATGGAAACTTAATTAATAATGATAGTAATAATAGTTATTATGGTTCCACCGATTTCGATAGTAACTATATTAATAGAAATTTATTAATATTACTTCAAAAATTACAAAATTTAACACCAACATTCAGTAATAATAGTAATTACTATGGAATAATTAATGATTTAATATCGCAATCACTGAAAAATATAAATAATAATAATTTTAATATACAATTACTTCAGTATCAATTAATTTCAAATATAATTTTTAATCAACCAAAATATTTAACAAATTTAAATAACGATCACTCTAGCAACCTTAACCAACTTAAAAAAGAATATCATTTAAATTTTTATAACAACTACATTTACTTTTTAATTCAAGGTATATTATCATCACATTTTTCAGTAAGAGTTTTATGCCAAACTATTATACAAGAGTTTATAAATCAAAATCCACAACAACACAAGAAAAAAGTTTTAGATTTCTTAATTTATAAATTGAAATCGTTTTCAATTAATTCAGAATATAATAATCAAATCCCACTATTAAGAAAATCAATTGAATCTATACAAATTTCATCATTATTACAATATAATAAATAAAATAAAATAAAATTATAAATCTTAAAAAAAATATTTTTTTTTTAAATCTTTATTATTAATTTACAAAACTATTATAATTTATTTATTATTGTTTATCTATTTATTTGTTATTTTAATTATAATGTATAATTTAATCCCAAGTTCTGTCTCTTAAGAGTAATGGTCCTACTAATGTCCATAAATATAAAAGTACAACAACCCAGGAACTAACAACTTTAACCCAAACAGATACCATACCAGTATCAACGGAAGCGGAAAGAGCAGTTGAGGTAACGTTTGAAAGTGTTGCCCAATTTGTTAAAAGTTCGCAAATATACATTGCACCAAAAGCAAAAGTAATATGGAAGAATGAATAATTGTATGCTGTACATTCACATTCGTCATCGGCTATACCAGTAGTTTCAGTATCTGGGTCATTTGGAATACTTTCATAGTGTTGATGTTGACCTAATAATTCATTAGAGTCACTTGCTCTAAAAGCAGAATAACAAACAGAGATAATTGTAAAGAGAGCACCAATAATAATTGTTGATTGTTTTGGATGATCATTTGCGATTGTTGAACATTTGCTTGCTGGTTCACTCATTATAGCAGAGTAAATTAAATAAGTTGTATACAACATTACAATACCACTTTGGAAGAGACCGCTTGATGGTCTAAATTCTCTAACCTTTTCGCTAATTGATAAAACTCCGACAATTAATGAGATACCAATGTTAAATACGATAAAGAATTGATTGATAGAACAGCTTTTACCAAGGAATACCAACATTAAAACTGTACCTGTAATTGCTGCGATGATACAACCAAAACTGAGAACGAATAATAAGACATACCATTTCTTTCCGCTTTCGCCTTCGTTTTCAATCTTTCTAACACATGATTCGTTGAGTGAATATGCAAACTCTACCAAGAGAACCAATTGAATTAATATGAAAATTGCTGCACAAAAAATTGCTGCCCAACCATAGACTACAAAGAATTTATTTGGTATAAAAAATGAAACTGTAATTAAACCTGCTAACATTAAAACTTTAACTGGCCAATATCCATCTTGGAATTTTGCTCTTCCTTCACCTCCACTCTTTACTCCGATCATTACAACTGCTAATAAAAGATGGTATAATGCTAATCCAAATGTTAATCTATAAACTAATAATGCACCAACGCATGCATTATCCTCTTTACTACAAACTTTTAAAACTAAAATAATATATTTGTCATATTAATATTATTATTTTTTGTTTTATTATTATATTTTATTTTATTTTATTATTTGTGTTTCTATTTGTTATAAAATAATATTGTTATTGATATTGTTTATAATAAACTTACAATCTAAACTATCGACCCATGAGAATGACCAATAACTAAAAACATATGCTATAACTGAAACTAATAAGAAAAATACAATATAAATAAGTCTTGTTGATGTTGATTTTTTAATTGATTTAATATGATTGCCTGGAGCACTATTCATTGTATTAATAGTCTCCATTTTATTTTATTTTCTATTTTATTTTTTAACACTATAATATTTATATTTTATTAAAAATTAATTTTTATAAACAATTAAAAAAAAAATTTTAAAAAAAAAATTTTAAAAAAAAAAAAAAATAAAAAAAAATAAAATAAAATTTATAATTTATAATTTTTTATTTATTTTTATTATTTTTTTGAGATAATTTTAAATAATTATTGTTTTTCAAATATTTCCTTTATTTACCAGAGATCAAATAATTAAATTTTTTTTTTTTTCTCAATGATTCCAAAATAAAATAAAAAATATGGATCAATAAATTATTTTTTATTTAAAATAACACTTTAAAATTGGTCCAATATTAAATCAATTTTAAAACATTGTTTATTTTTTATTCTTTTAACTTATTTCTTTTTTCTTTATCTTTTTTTTTTCATCAAAAAAAAAATTAAAAATAAAAAATAAAAAAACAATAATTTTGAACACATAATATGTTTTTATAAAAATTAACATTATCAATCAAAAATAACCAAATCTCATATTGTTAATGATTGATATGTTGAATTATATAGCACACCCACAATATGTAAATCAAATCAAATAATTGTTTTATATAAATAAAAAAAAAAATAAAAAAAAATAAAAAAAAAAACAAAATTATTATAAAAACTATATTTATCAAACAGACATCTATTAATTAATTAAACACATGTGATCTCAAAGACAATCCCTTCATTAAATCAACATTATTTATTTGAAACTATATAGAACACACAATAACACAAAACTTCACCCACTAAAAAGAGAGAGATCACCCCACTCACACTTTTAAAAAGAAAAACATAAATAATAATAATAATAATAATATAAACAAAATTTTATTTTTTTATTTTATATAAAATAATTTAAAATTTTTTATAAAGAAAAAAAATAAATAAAACAATTATATAAATTACAAATAAACTTTTATACATATATTTATTTAATAGATTAAATTAAATGTCTTATAATAATAGTAGTAATAAAAGATTACAATTAGTAGTCCTTGGTGCGGGTGGTATTGGGTAACTATAATATACTACATTATTTTTCAATACTTTATTTAAAAAAATATTGACCCTTTTTTTCTTTAAATATTTATTTAGTAAAACAGCGTGAGTAAAAAAATTTAATTTGTGGATAAAAATTAAAAAAAAAAAAAAAAAAAAAAAAATTTTAATACTAATAATTTTATTTAAAAAGGTTGGTTATTCGTTATTTTCAAAATCATTTCGTTGAAGAGTAAGTTTATAATTTTTGATATAATAAATATTGAATCCATATTTACAAACTGTTGTTTTATTTGCTTAACTTAGGTACGATCCAACTATTGAAGACTCCTATAGAAAACAATGCATGGTTGATGGTTCTCAGTATATGTTGGATATTTTAGATACTGCTGGTCAAGATGATTATTCAGCCATGAGTAAATTGATCCTTATATTATATGATTTAAATACACATAATATTAATTTTATTTTTATTTTTTAGGAGACCAATATATACGTAATGGAAGTGGTTTTTTAATTATATATGATATATGTTGTAGATCATCATTTGAAAAGTGTCCAGAATTTTTTGAACAAATTCAAAGAGTCAAAGAGCTAGATTCCTTTCCATTTGTTTTAATTGGCAATAAAGTTGATTTAGAAAGTCAAAGACAAGTATCTACTGTTGAAGGAAATGAATTGGCAAAGTATTATAATGTTCCATTCTTTGAAACCTCTGCTAAAAACAAAACCAATGTAGAAGAATGTTTTTCCGAATTGGTACGTTGCATTAAAAGACACAACCAGCAATCAAAAAGAGATGAAAAAAATAAAAATAGTGATAATAATGAAAATAATAATGGTAACAATAAAGATAAAAAACAAAAATTAAGTCTAAAGAAAAAATTATTTTATAGTATATTTTGTGGAAGTAATCCAACTGATTAGACTCAATTAAACAAAATCAATAATCAATAATCAAAAAACAAAAAAACAAAAAACAAAAAACAAACAATTATTTATACCCATTTGTACTATTAAAAAAAAACTCTATATACTTCCAAAACTAAATCAATAAATCAAAAAAAATATTTTTATAAAATATTTTAATATTTAATATTTATGTGAAAAAAAAAAAAAAAAAAAAAAAAAAAAAAAAGGAAAAAAAAAAAAAAAATTTTTTTTTTTTAAATTTAAACATTGAACATTGTTTTTTTTTAAATTTAAACTTTGAACATTGTTTTTTTTAATTTAAACATTGTTTATTTTAAATTAAAATGCTACCCAAAATTTTTTGGTTCAATTTAAAAAAAATAAACAATGTTTAAAAAAAACAAATAAAAATATATTAGAAAAAAAACAATGTTTAAACTTTGAGTAACGTTATACAAAGTTTAAACAATGTTTAAATTTTAAAAAAACAATGTTTATATTTAAAAAAAAAAAAATGTTGAATTTAAAAAAAAACAATGTTTAAACTTTGAATAAAGTTTTAATTTAAAAAAAAACAAATTGTTATTAAACGATTATCACTTTTACAGGGAGAACCATAAACAGTTGGTGGGTAAAATGAAAATGTAATATTGTTTGGATTTATTGCATTTCTACCTTTAATGCTCATAAAAATTATATGGTTGTGTCCTGATGTGGTTTTTCTTTCACCAATACCATCTGGTTTTAAAACAGTATTTTAAAAGAACTCTATACAAATAATTAAAAATAAATAAATAAAAACAAATTTGATATATTTTAAAACTATTAATTTTTTTTTTATTTTATTTTATTATTATTACTATGTTTAAACTTTGAATAACTTTTTAATTTAAAAAAAAAACAATGTTGAATTTTAAAAAAAAAACAATATTTAAACTTTGAATAACATTTTAATTTAAAAAAAAAATAATGTTTAAATTGAAAAAAAAAAAAAAACAATGTTTAAATTTAAAAATACTTATTTAACCCAAATTGAAGAAAGAGAAATCATGCTATTTTTACAGATGGATAAAATAAATCTTTAAACTCAAAACAGTTAACAATGAAAATATAAAAAAATAGTCCAATCAATTACCAAATACACTTAATTTACATCACAACAAATAAAAATAAAAGATTAATGTCTCTGTTATTATAATTTTTTTTTATTTTTTATTTTTATTTTTATTTTTTTTTTAATTTTTTAAAATTTTTTTTTTTGAAATATTTTTTTTTTTTAAAATTATATTTTTTTTTTTTTTTTCAAAATAGAAAATCATTTTTTAATTTATAAAAACTATAGTTTATATTAAAAAAAAAAAGTTTTTTTAGTAATTCAAAGTTGTTTTTAAATTAATTTTCGAAGAGACAACAAATTATTATTTTTTTTTTTTTAAGCTTTTATAATATATATATATACTGAATAACAATAATAACATTAATGTTAAATTAATAAAAAAAAAAAAAAGGCACGACGATAATATATTGTTTATATATAGTTTTAATAATCTATAAAAAAAATGGCAGATAATGTTTCAATTCCAATTGGAACAAGAGTTGCAATCAGTGGAAAGCCAGAATTGGGTATAGGTACTGTTAAATATTGTGGTATGACAAAGTTCAGTCCTGGTCGTTGGGTTGGTATAGAATTAGATACTCCTAGTATGTATAACAATAAAATAATATGTACATAAAAGAAATAATTAAAATAATTGATATACTAACAATAATATTTATTAAATAATAAAAGATGGTAAAAATGATGGTGTAGTTCAAGGCGAAAGATATTTTGAATGTAAACCACTTCATGGTTTATTTGTTAAACCACCAATGGCAATTATACAAGAAAGTTCACCAACAACTCCATCAATTGATTTAACTGATGCACCTTTACCAGTTCCAACACCTTCAGTTACCACTCCATCAAAAGTAGCAGCATCATCTGGTATAAGACCACCATCATCAACTGGTATTAGACCACCATCATCATTAGGCAAAGGTAGACCAAGTTTAACAGGTTCATCATCAACCCCTACACCAACAACTTCGGCAGTTAAAAAACCTGCTGGTGAATCTGGATTAAGAAGACCAAGTACAATACCATCAACATCTGATAAAACCAGTACATCACCATCCCAAAACACAACCTCACCACCACCTGAAAAAATTGATGATACAACTATCCAACCATCACCACAAATTGAATCACCAACATCAACCACAACAACAACCACAACAACAACAGCACCACCACCACAACCACAACAAACCCCATCTAAAATTCCAAGACCACCATCCTCATCATCCTCAAGACCATCATTAATTCCAAAACCAGCAGCCACCAGCAATACTATTGAACAACCACCTCAACAAACACAACAAAAACAACCAGACCAACCAATTTCTACCCAACCACAACCATCACCATCACCACCAACAAGTTTAGCAACACCATCAAGTGAAAAAAAGAAATCTAAAATTGTTCAAGGCGAAGATGAAGAAGAGGAAGAAGAAATTAATGACTTATTAAACAAATCTTTAGCAACTGAAAAACAAAACTCTGCAGCTCAAGCAAACATTGAAAAGATGATGAATTCAATTAACGAATTAACAGAATTTAAAATCAAATCAACTGAAGAAATTGACTCACTTAAAGAGAAATTAAAAGATACCGCTACAAACAAAGATAAACAAATTAAAGAGCTTGAAAAACAAATTCAACAACTAGAAAAAACAATTTCATCAAAAGAAAAAGAAAATGAAAATTTATTAAAAAATCAACATAAAAACGAGGTAAATATATTTATCAAAAAAAATAAAAATAAAAAATAAAAAATTTTATTAACTTTAATTTTTTTTATCCAGGAACAAAATGAAACATCAAAAAATAAAGAAAAAATTGAATTTGAAAAGGAAAAACAAAATTTATTAGAACAAATTAATCAATTAAATGAAAATTTAGAATTATTAACATTAGATAAAGAAGTTACAGAAGAGAAATTAGAATTTACAACATTAGAATGTGAAGAGGTTAAAGATGAATTAGAATTAATGAAAATTGAATTTGAAACCATGAAATTTAGATTACAAGAAGAAAGACCCAATAGAAGTGTTGATGAAAATTTACCAACTGACGTTATAGTTTTACAAGAACAAAACGAAAAACTTAAAGAAGCATTGGTTAAACTTCGTGATATCACAATGAATGACAAACACGAAATGTCAAAGAAGAGTAAAGAGCTTGAAAGTATTACAAAACAATTTATGGCACTCAATGATAAATCAAATCGTCTCGAACAAGAATTGGCTGCAAAAGTTGAAGAGGTCATTGAATTAAAACAAGCCCTCGAAGATGCTGAAAATAGTGAATCACTTGTCACCGATCTATCCGAAAGAAATTTAGAATTGAGCGAAGAGGTAGAAGATTTAAAAGCAACTGTAGCCGATTTGGAATCTTTCAGAGATCTTTCAGAAGAACTTAGCGACAATCAAGCTGCTCTTGAAAAATCACTTCGTTTAGAGGTCAATAGTAAAGATATTGAAATTCTTAACCTCAATGGTCAATTAGCCAATCTTCAAATTAAGAGCCAAGAAAACGACAAAACCATTATGCAATTCAGAGATCTTGTTGGTAGACTTCAACACAAACTTGAAGAGCTTAGAAGAAAAGAAGAGGAGCAATCTGAACAAAACTCGTCATGGAGTGCAATCCAACAACAATTGCTCAGCAAGAATATTCAACTCCAAAACCAAGTTATCAAAGCCACCGCACTCGAAATCGATCATCAATTGGAAAAGAACAAATCAGTCGAGTCTCAAGTTCATTTATCATTTGTCTATGAATACTTACCAGAACAAACTTTCCAATCAGATAACGATGCTATTAGTATGCTTTTATTATTAAAACGTGTCATTTTGAAATCAGAATTAGCCCAACGTTATTTAAATCGTACCTATAAAGTCGAAGAGATTGGTAATAAAGTTAGTGACTCCACCGATGAAACTTTGACATCCAACCAAGTTGCCCATTCTCTTCAAATCATTCACATCCTCGAACATTTAGCCATCTCTGCCACCTGGCTAACAGAAACTCTTGAAAGATGCCAAGCCGACCAATGGTTACGTTCTGGTAGATCTGTTAAGGATATGAGAAACCAAGAAAGAATACTCGATCATTTATTAGATCTCATTAAACAAGAAAGATTTGGTTCCTCCTATAACGGTCAAGACCTTGAAAAGATTTGTCAAAGATTAGACTCACTCTTATTAAACATATTTGGTGATAAAGAAAGCAACATCTTTAAACCAGAATGGTCAATCCTCTTAAACTATATTTTAGGTATTCAATATAACATCAAACAAATTATGCTCAATGACATCAATATTGTATCAGTTACAAATTCAAACCAAAACATTTTCCCACACAAAGAAATGTCTACTGTATTATCAGTTTGTAGAAAAGTTGTAAAGAATCTTCTCACCAAACCATACCTCTCACAATCATCAATCGTTCGTGATTTATTAAAGAGCTCCGAACATACCTGTAAATCCATTCTCATCGAAATCATTCAAGTACTTCCAAAGATTGAAGAAGATCCAACAAATAGTGCAATCATTGAAGATTTGAATATTAGAGTTCAAGCTAAATGTGATTTATTAGTCTCCCAAAATCAAAACAATGATGAAATCGAAATTGATGGTCACCATGACGAAGAAGAATCCAAACTCTCATCATCATTAGAAAAAGTATTCTATAGAATGAATATTCAATTAAGCGACGTTGTTGAATCCATTATTGCAGGTGATCTCAATCTCTCCGAAAAAGACAAAGCAGCATTAGAAAAAACACATCCATGGACCGAAAGAGCCAATCAGCTTAAACAATCATTAGGCGAAGTTGGTCAACTTAGAGATATCATTTCAACTAAAGATCAAGAACTTTTAGATAATCTTAAAACTATCAAAGCCAAAGAAGCTGAACTTATCGAAGAAAAACGTAAAGAGGAATCATTCGACAAGAGAATTAGAATCCTTCAAAAATCTGAAAATGAAGTAACCGAAAAACTTCAAAAAGAAATTAAATCTCGTGAAGAAAATGAAAAGACATTCCGTCAAGCACTTGCTCAACTTCGTAACGAAAAGAATTCACTTGAACATGATTCAAAACTTTTACAACATAAAATCATTTCACTTCAAGCTGAACTCCAAAAGAAAGCAAATGCACCTGCTTCACCATCTGCATTAGCAAATCAAGAGTTATTACGTTCAGTCGATGACATTCAAATCTTATCATTGAAGAAATCCATTAGATTCTTAAGAAATGAAAACTTGAAATTAAAATCTCAAAAATCAATTAAAGAATTACAAGAATTAAAATTAATTGAAAATTATAATAACAAATTATTGTCATTAAACAGCAATAACAAACCATCATCAGTAAGCAGCACACCAGGAGCATCATCACCACAACCAGTTACATCCTCCTCATCATTAAGCAGCCAACAAATTTTAGAACAACAATCAAAGAAACAACAAATCAAATTTAATGAAATTGTTGAATACTCTAAACAAGTTAACCATATGATGGTCAATATCTTGGAAAGCACTGCTGCTCCAAAAGTTTTAGATTTATCTGCTAAATACAATAATCAATCTTCAATAGAGAAAACCAATGCTAATGAAATTGAAAATCAAAAATTATTATTAAAACAACAAGAAAGAAAAGTTAAACAACTTCAATCTAAAATTACCTCTTTCATTTCCTCTTCCTCTTCTCAATTTGGTTTAAATAACTATGCTGACGCAAATCAATCTAGAATGTTAAAAGAATCAATTCCACACAAAATTGCCTCAATTACAATTCCTACTTTGGATACCAACAATAATATAAACAATACTACTAATAATAACAATATTAACTCTTTAATGCTTGACAAAGATATTCAACAAGCTTTAAATTCTACAATTTTACCAAATCCAATTTTATTTACAAACAATCAAACATTTAAAAATATTCATCAAGTATTTGTAAAATAAAATAAAGTAAAAAAATAAATAAAGAAAATTAAAAACACATTCAAAAAATTAAATCTTTTATTTTTTTTATTTATTTATTTATATTTTTATTTATTTAATTTTTATTATGTATTTTTATTTATTTTTTAATTATTTAATTTTTATTATTTTTTTTTTATTTTTTTTTTTTATGAATTTTAGCAAAAAAAAAACGAAAAAAAAATATTTTTCATTTTTATTTAAATTTTTAATATTAAATTATTTAATTTTAGTTTTTATAAATAAATTGTAAATAATTATAAATTATAATTATAACAATAATAAACTTTAAATCCCAAACCAATATAATATAATTTATTATAATATAATAGTATAAAAGAAAAAATAGTCATAAATATCACAAATAATAATAATAATATAAAGAAAATTTAAAAAATGGAGAATTTAAATAATAATTTAGAAAAATTAAATTTAAATAATACAATTAATAATAACAATAGTAGTAATAAAAATGAAATAGTTGAGTTTTATGACTCTGATGAAGAATATTATTCAGATTATTCAGATTATTCAGAAGAGGAAGACGAAGATAGAATTTTAGGAGAGAGAGCAGTTTCGTTAAATAGAGCATTACAACCAAAAGCAGCAATGTTAGAGCAAAAATATCAAAGTAAAATTAATATAAATAGTATGAGTATGGGTGGAGGTAAAAGAATTATCGATGATGAACATAGAAGCTTACCAAACTCTGTACAAAATTCAATTAAAGAAATTAAAAAAAAAGATGATAAACAAGGTATTCGTATTGTAGATAAAGAAGATCGTGCAACAACAGAACAAGTATTAGATCCAAGAACACGTTTAATGCTTTTTAAAATGATTAATAAAGGTGTATTTACAGAGATTAATGGTTGTATTTCAACTGGTAAAGAAGCTAATGTTTATCATGCATTTACACACGCTGGTGAAGAACGTGCAATTAAAGTTTACAAGACTAGTATTTTGGTATTCAAGGATCGTGACCGTTATGTAACTGGTGAGTTCCGTTTCAGACGTGGTTACAGCAAACATAATCCAAGAAAGATGGTTAAAGTATGGGCTGAAAAAGAGTTCCGTAATCTTACACGTTTAAAGACTGCTGGTATTCCATGCCCAACTCCATTACTCTTACGTAATCATATTTTGGTTATGAATTTTATTGGTAAGGATGGTTATGCTGCTCCACGTTTAAAAGATGCCAACGTTAGTCAAGATAAATTTGCTGTACTCTATCTCGATTGTATCAAAATGATGAGAACCCTCTATCACAAATGTAGATTGGTTCATGCCGATCTTAGTGAATACAATATGTTGTACTATAAGAACACCCTTTACATTATCGATGTAAGTCAATCGGTAGAGCACGATCATCCACACTCTTTAGATTTCCTTCGTATGGATTGCACCAATGTCACCGATTTCTTTAGAAAAAAGGAAGTAGCAACCATGTTTATTCAAGAACTCTTTGAATTCATCACAGATTTAACTATTACCGATTCAAATATGGACGAATATTTAGAAACAATGTTGGAAAAAATTCAATCTCGTGGTGATATGAGTGATGAACAAAAAATTCAAGAATCCGTTTTTAGAAATGCTTATATTCCACGTACTTTAGATCAAATTATTGATTTGGATAGGGATATGACAAAGATTCAAAAAGGTCAAGGTCAAGATATTTTTTATCAAGGTGTTACAGGTTTAAATAAAGATTTAAAAAGTGTAAAAGAAAGACCAGATATCATTGATAATGAGGACGACAATAGCAATTCAGACGAAGATGAAGATTCAGACAGCGATTCCGATGATAACTCTGATAGTGATGATTCAGAAAGTATGGATGAAGAAACAAAAACTAAATTAGAGGATATGCCAAAGAAAGATCGTAAGAAATTAGTCAAAGAAATGAACAGAGAAAGAAGAAAGAACAAAATTCCAAAACATATCAAAAAATTAAACAAAAAAAGAAAAGCAGAAAAATATGGTAAAAAATCAAAAAAATAAAATAATAAATTATTTTTTATAAAATATATATTTTAAAAAATCATCTCATTGAAAAGTTTTTTTTATCTTTTTTTTTCCTATAACAAGGTTTTTTTCATTTCCAAGAAAGTTTTACAAAAAAAAAAATTGTTTTATTCAAATATTATATTTTTAAAGGTATTGTTTTAAAAAAAATAAAATATTATTTAAAATTATTTTTATAAATTTTTTTTTTAAATTTTCAAATATTTTCAAAATTTTTTTTTTTTTTTATTGATACCTTTTATTTCCCTAATTTAATAAATACCATTTTTTTTTTTTTTTTCATATATAATCGTTTATAAAATTAAATATTAATAATAGAAATAAATTAATAGAATAAACTATATATATGTTAAATTAAAATGAATTTATCAACATTAAATATTGTACAGTTTTTAGAAAGTTCTAAAATTCAAATACCTAATGGATTCAAATCAATTAAAGGAGTTTTGGATTTAGATTTTTATGACTTGGTTAAAAGTATTGGCGAATCAACATCAAGAGAAGATGAGTTATATATAGTTAATAATGAAATTAAGAAATTAAAACAAACATTTTCCAAAGATGTTACAGTAAGTTAAAGAAATTTATATTTTATAATAATACTTTATTTTATATTAATATCTCTTTTTTTTCATAATTTAAAGAAAGAAAAAATTAGAGAATGTTTAATTAGAATGATTTATTGTCATATGTTGGGTTACGAGGTACCTTTTGGATATATTCAGGCATTAAATATGACTCAAGATAGCAATATTTTAAATAAAAGAACAGGTTATTTAGCATTATCATTATGTTTACCAGAGAAACACGAGCTATTAATTATGGCAGTAAATTCAATATTAAAGGGTTTAAATAGTGCAAATTATTTAGAGGTTTGCTCAGCTTTGACCGCAATGACTAAATTGGTAGATCGTGACACTATACCCGCATTCATGCAAAAGATATTACAGCTATTAAATCATCAAAAATCAATTGTCAGAAAGAAAGCAGTTAATGTATTACACAGATTCTATAAATTGGTTGGCCGTTCATTTTTAGAAGATGATCAAGTTCATGACAAGTTAAGACAATCACTATGCGATCGTGATCCTTCCGTTATGGCTGCTTCTATTTGTATATTTTTAGATATTTCAAACAATACAGAAAATATTCCTATTCTAATAGATTTGGTACCAAGTTTTGTAGGAATTTTAAAACAAGTTGCTGAGGGAAGATTACCAAATACTTTTATCTATCACGGAATACACCATCCATGGTTACAAATAAACTTGTTGAAACTTTTAGCTAATCTCGGAATCAATGATGTAGACTCATCAAATCATATGTATCAAGTATTATTATTCACAATGCAACAGGCTCAAAAGTTTAAAAATAATGTTGGTTTTGCTATTCTTTATCAAACAATCAAGACTCTTACCTCTATCCATCCAAATATCCAATTAATTGAACAGTGCTCAAAGAATCTTTCCATATTATTAAAGAGTAGACACAACAATTTAAAGTATTTTGGTATTAAAGCATTAACTTCAATTGTCAAAGTTTCACCAAAATTAGTATTACCTTACCAAGTTGAAGTTATCGAATCATTAGAGTCCTCCGATGAAACATTAAAGAGAAAGAGTTTTGATTTACTTTATCGTATGACCAACCAAAGCAATATAGTACCAGTCTGCTCAAAATTAATAGAGCAATTAGTTTTATCAAATGATCAAAATTTTAAATCTGAATTAGTCAATCAAATCACCCATTTAGCAGAAAAATATTCACCAAATGATATATGGTATATTGACACCATATCTACAATTCTTTCAATACCAAATTCAATATCTATTAATGACGATCAACAGTTTGCTTATAATTTAATTAAATTGGTTTCAGAAGAGGATGATATCAAAATCAAACATCACATTGCAGAAATATTTTTAAATAATTTATTAAATAATCAACAGCAACATCATCAGCAACAACAGCAATCAAATAACCAACAATTAAATATACAACAATATTCAGATATTTATATTAAAATTATGAGTTGGGTAATTTCAGAGTATTCAAATCTAGTAGTAAGCAATAATTCTGTAATCGAAAATACAATTATAGATTATTTATGTGATCTTCTTGAAAAAGATTATCAAGGTGAAACAAAGTCATGGATTATTATGTGTATTGGAAAATTAGCAGCCCAATTAGGTGGTAAATCAACTCCTCAGTTAGAAATTTTAACTAGAAAGTTCAACACTTCAAAATCTTTAATATCACAACAACGTTCATTTGAATTACAAGAAATTTTGAAAGATCAGAAATTAATTAATCAAATTTTACCATTAGATGCTTACTGTGAAGATATTGATGTAAGTTATTATATTTATAATAATTTTGCATAAACTTTTATTAACTTTTTTTTTTTTTTAGTTTGATCAAGTATTTAAAAATTTAAACAGTTATGCAAATAAATCAATCGAAAAAGGTGGAAAGAAATATAAGCCATATGAAAAGAGAAAGAATACACCATTAGTTGATATACCAAATGAAATTTCAGGTACTGCAGAAAAGGGTTTAAATTTTGAATATCCTCCACCACCAAACCCATTTAATTTATACAATCAAACACCAATACAAAATCAACGTCAAATACAATATCATCAAAATAATCCACAGCAACAACAATCACAACAACTTTTATTAATGAATAATGAACAACAACAACAATTCGTTCATGAACAAAACCAAATGTCATTGGTACCAATTAGTAACCAACAACAACAACAAATACAGCCCTACCAAACTCAAAACCCACAGACTCATCCAAATAACCAATCAATGCCTTCTGAACAACCCCATACTAAACTAGGGTAAGTTTTTTATTTTTCTTTGTTTTAAAATAATAAAAATTTTATTATTAACTTTTTTTTTTTTTTAAAGTTTACCTAAACCAAATAAAGTATTATGGACTAAACAAGGATTTGTAGGAAGTAAATCACAAGCACCACCTGCCTCTGCCTCACAACACCAACAACCACAACAACAAAACCAACAAAACCAACAAAATCAACAACACCAACAATACCAACAACACCAGCAGCAACAACAGCAAATAAAAAATACATCTGTAGATCCAGAAAAAGAAAAGCTCGCTCAACAACTATTTGGTAATCTATCCGACACCAATACAGAAAACCATAGAATCTCAAAACTACACAATAAAAATCAACAAATATGAGCAACAATGCAAATAATTATTATTTTTTTTTTTAAAGGAATTTAATTGTTTTCTCCCCCCCTATTTAATAATACACTACTACTAATACAATAATGATCCTAATAATCGTCGTAATAATAATATTATTATAATATTAATAATATTTTTTTAATAGCGTTAAGAAGCTAAGGGAGCTTTTCCAGGAAATATTAATGGTAATTCAGACCCTTTTTGGCTCCCTTAGAAGAAATAAAAATTAATCCCGGTAAAAAAAATAATGAAAATCCTGAAAATATTCAATAAATAAATTAATAGGGTTCCAAAAAAAAAAAAAAAAAAAAAAAAAAAAAAAATGGTACCCCTCACCAACTCCCTACAATCTACACAAACACTACAGCGTTCCCCTAAAATACCCAACTATCTCCATTTCTTTTCATTTTCATTTTATTTTTATATATATTTTTTTTTAAAATTTAAAAGTATTATTTTAAAAAAAACTTTTTGTTTTATATGCATATATACATTTATATTTTCCCTACCAATATTTATTTTTAATTTATTACCATATATTATTATAATTTAAATAAGGTTTGTTTATAATTCAATAAAATTTTTAAATAAAATAAAATAAAAAGTCTTCAAAAAAAACACACAAATAATAAGAATATAAAAATATAGATATATAAAGAAAAAAAAATTATTGATATCTCTCCATTACCCCCATATAATGAAAAAAAAATTAATTAATTTTATAAATTAAATTTTCCGAAATTTATTCATTAAATTATTAAGGCACAAATTCAAATATTTAATGCACACATAACACTAAAACACACACATAATCCAAAGATACATATTATAATAAAAATTTAATAATTGTTTAAATAATAAAATATAAAAAAAGTAAAAAACATTGGGTGTTGTGTGTGAATAGGGGTTTTTTTTAAAAAATTACCTATTTTGTGTAATATTGCGACTATGTGATTTAAATTTAATAATATTTTCTTTTAACCACCACAACCACACAGCCAAGACATATATAAACACTTCTTCGCCCAAACTCACAAACTAATAATAGCAAAATTAAAATTAATTAGATAATTTTACATTATTTTAGAATTATTTAAATCCTTATTTTTTTTTTTTTTTTTTTTTTTTTTTTAATTTTATTTTTTAAAAAAAAAGAATTATAAAAACCTATTTTTTTTTTTTTTTTTTTGGTGATAATAATTATAGTAATAATAATTATAATCTATTTTAGAAAATATATAATAGGAATTAAATAAGATAAAAAATATTCCCAAAATAATACAAATTTATAATTAATAATTTTAATGTTATTGTCTTTTTTTAATAATTTTTAAATTTCACCACTCTACACATAACTAGAACATACAACCCTAACAATAAAAATTAAAAAAAAATATTTTTTAAACTTAACAAATTATTTGTGTGTTTGTGTTAATTATTTTATTTTTGTTTTTTAAAATTAATTATTATTTCCAAAATTATATTTTTAAAAAAATCAATAAAAAAGAAATAATTAAAAATTTTCTTTTATTATTTTTTTTTTGAAATAGATTATTATAATAGAATAACAATAAAATAATAAATCTATAAAATAGAAAATATATTCATACAAAAAAAAAGAAAAAAAAATGAATCAATATCAAAAAAGATTAAATGCAAAATACCTTTTGATGAAATCAGATCCATATTATTCACAAAAATATCCAGATAGTTCATTATATAATCACCCATTTCATCATTTAGTATTACCAATTAAACTTCCAACAATTTTAGATATTATTCGAGATGGTTTAGAAAATATTAAAAGTGTAGAATTAAAAGAAGGTCAATCACATATATTTTATAGCTTATTCCATATTTTTACTGAACTACCCTTAATAGGTGACAATGTAGGTTTTTTATTTTTAAATTATTACCCGCCACTTTTTTTTTGCATAAAATTAAAAAATACTAATTATTTTTTTTTTTAGATTTTATTAAAAGCAGGCTCTCAATATCATTCAAATTTATTTGTATCACCAAATGGAGAAGTACCAAAATTTTCAATTCTTGATTACTTAACAAGACTTGTTAAATTTTCACCTTGCTCAAGAGAATGTTTTGTTATGATTGCTGTCTATATAGATAGAATTATTAAAAAAACTGGTTTCATTGTCAATAGTTTAAATATTCACAGACTTTTAATAACTTCAATTATGGTGGCATCAAAATATATAGATGGTAAGTGTATAGTTATTTAAATATTAATTTAAAGATACATGAATTAATTGTGTTTTTTTTTCAATAGATATTTTTTATAATAATGAATACTATAGTCAAATTGGTGGCGTTAGTAGAGACGAATTAAATAGATTGGAAATTTCATTTTTAAACCTATTACAATTTGATCTTTCTTGCCCTTATCCAGATTATTTAGATTATTTTGCAAAGCTAGATTCATTTGCAAATAAACTTAGTAAATCAAATAAAAAAGAATCAACAACAAAAAAACAAAATCAAAATACATTAAACAATAGTTGTATGAGTATTAATAATATAACCAATAATAATTATACCAATGGTAATAATAATTGTATTTCTAAAATAATAAATCCCCCAATATCCACTGCAACCACAACTTCATCATTCAATGCCAATTATAATAATAATAATAATAATAATGTAATAAATAATAATAATAGTGTTAGTAATAATAATACTAGTATTTATAGTACAAGCGAAACCCAAAATATTACAATATCCACATCCAGAAGAAAGTCATTAACCCATCAAAATCAATTAATAATTCCTAAACCCAATCCATGTATTTCTTAAACCGTTCAACAAAAACATTCCTATTTATTTCTAGTATTATAATGTATTATTTTACAATATTTTTTTAAAATTTTTAAAAAAACAATAAAAAAAAAAAAAAGATTAAATCTTTTTATTTTGTACATGAACACCATCGATGAAATCAAGATTTGTTTTTTAAAAAAAAATCAAATTTTTTTCCCACTTCCTAATTATTTTTTCTTTTAAAAAAAAAAAAAATTTATATTTTAAAATTTTTTATTTTTTTTTTCTAATCAAAATTTTTATTTCTCTTTATTCAAAACAAATATATATATAATCTAAAAAATGAAAAGAATGGGTGGAGGTTCAATGAGAACCGTTCAATCAGGATTTGCCGTAAGAAATATTGCTACAACTAGTACTAGTACAGCTACAATAAACACAACTCCATCAAAAAATAGTATTATCTTTTTTATTTTTTTTGACCACCAATTCAAATACTAATACTTTTTTTTTTTTAAAATTAGTTTTTTTAAGTTAACCGTATAAAAAAAACCAAACATCATTAAAATATTTTATTAAATAAAAATGTATTTTTAAAATGATCATCAATTTTTTTAGTTTTTTTTTCTTTTTTTTTCTTTTTTTTTTATTTTATTTTTGTATAATAATATTATATTTTTATATTTTTTTTTATTTTTATTTTTTATTTTTCCCAACACTCAACCAAAAATTTAAAAGATTTTTATTTTAAAATAAAAATCTTTTTGGTTTCAAAGAAAGTAACATACCAGCTTTGGATTTTTTTCACTTTTTTTTTTTTTTGCATATGTCACCCCGTTTTTTTGACAAAGAGGTTACTGGTACCGTTTTTTATTTTTTTTTATTTTTTTTTATATTTTTTTTTATTTGTGCATCTATCTAAAAAATATATATAATTAGAATTTTTTAAATTTTTAGTTTCATTATTAAAAAACAAAAATTTTATAAAAACAAATGATTAGCAGAATTAGTAACAGTTATTACTCAAGTGGAGGTATTGGCCAAGGACCAAACAGAAATTATTTTGTAACCAACCCAAAAAATCCAACAATACCAATTAGCAATATTAAAAAAGGTAAATCTATTTAACAAATAAAATAAAATAAAAAAAAATAAAAAAAAATATTAACCATACAAAATTTAAAATTTATAGGTTTTTCTTCATAATATGTTTTTATTGGAATTATCAGTTTTTGATTTTAATTTTTTAAATAAAGTTTCGAATAATTGATCAAACAAAACCTATAGTTTATTTTATTTTTATTTATTTTTATTTATTTTTTTTATTTTTTTTATTTTTTTTTTTCTTTAAAAATATATAACATTTGTAGTTGGTGGTATTATGTTGTGATTAAATATTTGATTAAAATTTTCTGTTAAAAATAAATCTTGAATAGTTTCAGGAATTAAGTTTTCAACTAAAGGTTGTTTAATATTGCCAACATGGAGTGTTTCGACAGATGAAGGAAACCAACCTATAGGTATCGGATGACTATAACCATCTTTAAGTTCAATTTCTTCTAAACCTTCTGGTAATACACCAATTCCAATTTGAACTTTATGATTGAAGAGAGTAAGTTTTTTAATTGTATTTGGTATTATCAAATTTGCAGAATCAATAGTTTGATCAAACTCTTCATTAAGAGTTAACTCTACTATACTTGAAGGAATTGAACCAACTACTAATGGATGTGTTAATTTTGAAACTGTTAAACTCTTTACTGATAGCGGAATAATATTTGGTAATATTGGTTGGTCAAATCCATTCTCTATTATTAATTCTTTTACTAATGGTGATATGGTTTCATTTGTTAATGTTTTACCATTTAAATCTTGATTCCTTAAAATTAATAAACCGGCATTATTTGGTTTTAATATGATTTTTTCATCACCCATATTATATTATTATTATAAATTTGTTTATTTAATAACCAAAATAAAAATAAAAAATTACAATTTTTTTAATTTTTTTTTAATTTTTAAAATTTTTTTTAATTTAAAAAAAAAAAAATATTTATAGTTTTTTTATTAAAAAGATTTATAATGGTAGCGGGAATAAAATAATAATCACTTTGTATATATAAAATCAAAAAAGAAATTAATAAAAACTTTATTATTTATCATTTAAAAATGTCAACAAAAAATAATAATAATAATAATAATAATAATAAATTTAAAGTTTTATTAGTAGGAAATTTTAAAGTTGGGAAAACTTCAATTCTTTTAAAGTATGTTGATGGTGAATTTACGGAAAACTATATAGCAACAATAGGTATTGATTTTAAAGTTAAAAATATAGAAATTGATAACGAATCTTTAAAGTTTATATTATGGGACCATCCAAGAGGTTGTGATAGATTAAGAACAATAACAAGTGCATATTACCGAAACCTTAATGGAATCATATTTGTTTATGATATTACCGATAAAAAATCATTTTCTTCAATTCAAAGCATATGGTATCCAGAGTGTAAAAAGTATAGCCCTGATAAAGCCTACATTCCATCGATACTAATATTGGGAACAAAATCAGATTTAAGGAACCAGTCAAACTATAAAGAGTGTGTGGATACCGACCAAGCCAGGGAATATGCTGCCTCAATTAAAGCATTATTTTTCGAAGTTTCCTCAAAAGAAAATTTAAATTTAGATTCATCACTTTTAGAATTATTTACACAAATTAAAAATAATGACTCTAGAACTCTGGATCAAAATAAAAATGACCAAATAAAAAAACAAAAATCATCATGTATTATAAATTAATAAATAAATGGTAAAAAAAAAAAAGATTTTATTAATTGCAGTAGTTTTTTACCAAAGCTTTTGGGTTCTATTTATAAACTATTTAATCCAATCTATACGTCCATAGCCATTATTGTTAGAAAGATTTGATTTTAAATATGATATTAATTTGCTATATTGATCATCTTTATGATAATTATCATCTATTAAATTATTTTGATAAAGAAATTTTAAAAATAAAATTTTTCTATGTGATATTGCTATATCGATCAATCTCTTTGATGGCTTTAAAGGGGAATCGGGATAGTTTCTTAATAACACAGTAAAACTATTGAATGGAATACATACAATAATTGAATAAATGTATTCTGCAAATCCCTCAACTGTAGTTATTCTGTTGAGGTAATCTTTAAATTTCTTTTCGTTTGAAAAAACTATATTTGGATGTTTGATCATTAAATCATAAGTAATACATGGTGAAATGGCAATTTGTAAATCTTTAATCCTGTCATAGTATTTATAATCATATTTAAATGAATATGGTGGCCAACATTCTAAAAGCTGGGGATATTGCAGGAGCTCTTCTAGTAAAACATCACCATTTTCAAGGCATTTTTCTATGACTATGCTAGTGAGTGAAAACTGGACCTCTTTATTACCTTTTATTGTATCTTGTAAATGTTCTATAAATAAATCTGGTCTATTTATATCCAATAAAAATTCTAAATTTGCATTTATAATATTACTAAAAGTGATTTTAGTTGGATATTTTTGCTGGGTAAGATACGGATAAGAAAGCATTTGCATTAAACTCTTCAATAATTCATCAAATGGAACTGCCTTTATATTTCTATAATTATCACCAAATATTGCTTTGAAAGATAATTTATGTGGATCGAAACGGTGTTTTATATCGACTAGCTGTTCATTAGGATCTTCTGTATAGGTCCCCATTGAAAACTCATCCATTATTCCATATTGATTTAATGAACTTGACAATGAAATTGAGAAATATGGAAAACTTTGAATATACTTTATAAATTTCAGTGATCTTATTGAAAGATAATAAATTGAAAAGATTGGTGAATTTGGTATTCGTATAGCCGAAATTTGATTGATCACCTGATAAGCATCAATAATTATCTCTTTTGGAACATCTTTGATTCTAATTAAAGCTTTGAATAAACCGACCACTGCAAACTCTAATCCTTTTTGAACGTTTGAAACTGGTTCTTGTGCTCTTTCCTCCTCGATATAATTCATGATCAACAATTCCATCATTGATACAATGTTTTTATAGGGTTTATAGTATTGATTAAACTCTATATATTTTGAAAATCTATAGGTAAAAATTGGAATATCGCGATATTTTGGAGAAAATGAACCTGGATTAAAAGTATCTATAAATTCAATAAACAATTCGTGGTGTTGGATGATAGGATTAAAGTTGCAACCCAATATCATTAGCTCTAATCTTTTTCTTGATCCATTTAAAAGAATTAAAAAGAAAATCTTGACCAATGCCTTTAAATAATTATTATTTTTTAAAGTATCACCATTAATGTTGTTGAATAAATTAGCTTTAAATTTTTCTATATATTTGCTTGGTATTGATGGCTTGGTGAAGTGATTTAAGCATTGATATGACATTCCCAGAAAATTATTTGATACCAAATAGTTGAAAAACTCGATTGCTTTTTTGTATTTGGGACTAGCATTGACAAAACTAACTTTTTTTAAATGAGGATCTGCATTACCAAATTTAGAAACTAGTTTACCAATTTCGTCCTTGTCACAAGTAACAATTGCCCTTCCAAATGTATCTTGATAGGTTTCGTAAAAATCTGTGTACCCATATTCTAATATTTGATAATTTGAGTACCAGAATGACCGAGTCAGCATACCAAGCTTTTCTTTATTCTTAACCAAGAAATCCAAACTTTCTTTATCTTTAACTTCAATAGGGAGATTTGGATCGGGGAACATATTTACAAATTGGGTCCAAAATTCCAAATATCTAGACCCTGGCATTTTCTTGACTACTTTATAATGAGAAACCAAATCCTTATTGCTTGAATAGTCTACTGATATTTTAATCATTGTTTCAATAAAACTTGATTTAATATAGCTATTTTCTAACTTGTCACTCACTGACTCGAAATAAAATATATAATCGAAATCTAAAGAGATACATTTCCCCCTAGCGATTTCTAGTTCAAAAATTAAAAGTTGTTCTTTGGTAATACCTTTCCAGTTATTTTTATTATTATTTAAAAATAGTTTTAAATTTTCTAATTTTAGTAATTTAGAACCATTAAAATCTAAAAAACTTAGCCCGTTTTCATCATTTCGAAGTAATCTATCTAACTCTACTATTCTACTATTATCCATATCTATTGTAGATTTATTTACTATTGACTCTAAATTATTTTGTATATTTTGTAATGATTTTGGTATTTTATAAAAATTTAAATTCAATAGTTTATTTTGATTTTCTATTGATATTACTTGATAAACTATTTTTTCAATTGAAACTTTATTATTTCCAAAAGTGTTATTTAATGATGATGGTGATGATGAAAAGACTGATTTTGGTGTATAATAATCTGGTTTACTTAGAATGAATTGTAAAACTCTATCTCTTTTAAAAATATTTTTAATTTTAAATACTGATTTGATGATTCTACTTTTGAATATTTCCGAACTGATACTATTATTATAAAAAAATGATTCTAATAGAAAGTTGATAACCTCTAATGTTGATTCTTTAAAAGCAGAATAGATATTGTATGGGAATATTTGAATGGGACACACAGGATCATTGAGAACAATACTGATTAACCTTTCATCAAATCTATGAAGATTCTGAAACAATGATTCCTTATTATATATTGAATTTGATGATAAAATTAATTTGAATACCTTTTCCATTTCGTTTTTTTCTTTGTAATTATAGATCCAATTCTCTAATCCATAAGACCTATCCCGACTCGCCTTAATATCATTGAATATTATTTCACCAGCTTCTAATTTACATTTAATTAATGGAAACTGCTTCTTCTCTAACATCCATTGTAATGAATCGATATCCTTAAATTTCTTTTTATTACTATACTGTATTCTTGCATGGGGATCCACCATAATCCATTCATAAGTATGAATGAAATTAAAAATTTTATTTAGTAAATATTTATCTCTAAAAACTTTAAAAAACCATTTTTCATTATTATTATCTTGATTATTTTCAACTTTAAGTTTCTTTTGAATATTATTTTTATTTTTATTTTTATTATTACTGTTATCTATAATACTACAATTCCCATTATCAATATTAATCCTATACATCACATAATAAATAATATAAAATTATGAAAGAAAAATATTTAATTTTTAATAAAAAAAAAAAATTGAAATTAAAAATTGAAAAAAAAAATTGAAAAAAAAAAGAACATTATTTTTTTTTTTAATTATATCAATTTTTTTAAATTCAAACTATATATAATTATAAAGGCATTACAACATGGATCACAGGTTTACTTGATTGACTCTAGTTGAGACTCTCACTAGGATATGTGTAGCTACACATTAAATAACTTATAATTAAATTAACAATTTCAAATATTGCCACCACTTTTATTTAATTGAAAGTAAAAATCTATTTTATAATTTGCAGGTTTTCAAAAATATTTCTTTGTTTTTAAAACCAAGATTTACTTCTTAGTTTGAAAATATAATATTTTTTTAAAATTGTATTCACACCAAAAAAATATAAAAGATAAATAAAAAGAACGGAATATTCTTTCCATAACCATTTATATGTTTTATAAAAAAATTTCTTAAAAATAAAAAAAAAAAAAAAAAATCCAGATTTTTTCAGGGTTTTTTTATAATAAAAAATAGTTAAATGATTATTTTTTTTTTTTTTTTTGGGGGCCCCAGAGACAAAGACTCCCCAGAATACCATATAGACAAAAACTAACTGTTCTTTGTATCTCAAATGTTTCTTTTTGATAAAGATTTTTAATAAAAATTGCTTATATTGCCCCAAACAAAACTTTTTTTTAAAAAAATTTTTTTTTTTTTTTTTTTTTATTTTTTTTTTTTTTTTTTTTTTTTTTTTTTCTTTTTTCTAAAATTTTTGAAAAATTATTTTTTAAAAAAATAAAAATTTAAAATTTTTTTTTATAATTTAAACAATAACACAAAAGGGGTTAATAAAATAATTATCTAAATAATATTAGTAATTACAATTATTTCTTTTACAAATATACATAAATATAAATATAAATATAAACCTAAACATAAAAACAAACACAAACACAAACCCACTTAGCAAAAAAAATTAATTAATTTTTATTATTTAATTTTATTTAATAAAGCAAATATAACACACCACCTTTTTTTTATATAGTAATTTAAATAATATCCGAAATAATTATTATATTTTTTATTTATTAATAACCATATAAAATAAAATAAAATAAAAATGTCAGAAAGAAATAATAATAATAATTCAAAAATAATAATTGAAAATGATGAAGAAGTTGTGTTTATTGAAGAAAATAATGATGGTAATACAGAAAATAATGATATTGTAAATGATATAAAAGAAAGAATTAAAGAAGTTAATTTTGACGAATTTGACGAAACTGAAATTGTAAATACTGGTAAAGAATTAATCAAACAATCAAATGTATTATTAAGTGAAATTAAAGAATTGGAGAGTGGCAAAGAGCTTTTCCAACACAGCAAAGCATTCGTAGATACAGTAATAAAGAAGCAAGAAGCCAAAGAACTAATGGAAAAAGGTTTATCAATGCTAAATGAAGTTAAAGAGAACAGAGAGGCCCAAGCATTAATTGGAGAGTGTAAAAACTTTGTCGATCTTTTCACTAAAGAAGAAC